CTTTTGTAGTGCAGGCTGGTCTCAAACTCACAATGATCCTCCTGCCTCAGCCTCCCAAGAGCTGGGATTACAGGGGTGCAGCACCACGTCCGGCTTTACTTTTGTTATTTGAAAAACTACTATTTGTATCTTATAAACAGAAAAGCAATTTTCTTATGGAAAGAAGGCAATATCCAAAGGCTTGGTTCAAAAGAAAACTAGAACAAGCGATGGTCTATGTTATTTCATAGCTTGTGATAAGTTTACAGTGATTTAGTTGAGCATCTTTAAACATAAAATTTTCATTTTAACTAATGGCCTTTTCTGGATGACATATTTTGCTTGTATTTAGAGAAATGCTATAGGTTTCCCTGGTTTGTTTGTGCTTCCTTTATGTCTTGTTAGCTAACACAAGTATAATTATCCTTTGAGAGCCATGTGGGCCACATCACATTTGTGATAGTAGTTATGGTTGGGAAAACAATGAATTTTCACCTTGTTTGATTGCCTATTCAGTGCCTTGTTTGTGCAAGTTATGCTGCATGACATCATACTATATCTCCTTTCATGTTTAAACTTGAATTCTACTCTATATAATTTTACAATGCATCATTCCTTTTTTGTTCCCTGAGCCTGATACATTGGTTTCTCATTCACTTTCAACGTTTATGTTATTTAAGTTTGAATCCCCCTTAAAGGACAAATATACAGCTGATTGTAAAAAATTCCCGTGAGAATCACTCTCAAAAAATGAATACACCTCACTCAAAAGTTTTACATGTCTGATATGCTTGAACCAGAAATGCTTGGCTGCTGACAAACTGTTTTCTGTTTTCTACTTACCCTGAATTTTATTGTTTACTTTTCTTATTCTTCTAACCTATATTCTTTGTTCCATGTAAACTGTACAGTCTATATCTAGCTTATTTAGTTTCTTGAGATATAAATTTCTATTTACATTCATAGCTTTTTGTTAGTGTGAAGAGTTAAGTGAGATCTTTAGTCTCATTCTAACCAAGTTACGGACTCCGACAGCATTTTAATTTCTTTTTTTCCTCTCATCTACCCTCTGTAGTCTCAAACTGAAGTCTTTTGAGTTTAAATTTTAAAGCCCCATCAAAAATTTTAAATAATCAATACTTATTTGAACTAATCTGCAAATTTTACTTTTTACTCGCTCATGACGCTCCCTTGAATCTCCCATATTCCTCTCGGATTAATTAATTTCCAGGAGCACATCTTCCAGAAATTCCTTCAGAAAGGAAGTGCTAAACTTTCCAAAACCTGTGTGTCTGAAAAGGCTTATTTTTTTCTAACACGTGATGATATTTGGTAAGAGGAAGAATTTTACAATCCAAATTCTTTTCTTGAACAACTGCTTCTTAAAAAACAGGCTTAATGCTAGCAAGAAAAGTACAGCAAGTCTCACGCAGAAGTTTTTGGGACTTGCTCTTTTATTGGTGATCTGAAGTTTCTCCGCAGGGGCTTCTGACTGACCAGGTGTTTTTCCACCCATCATGTTAAACACGTTTTTCCTCATAGGAGTGAGGTCTTTCTTTTATTCTTCTTCCCTCTCTTAATTTTGGGAACTTTAAACATTTTTTATTTGAATATCTATTTTATACAGTCCTTCTACCTTCTGAAATTCCTCTTTCTAACGTTAGAAGTACTATTCTTGTTCCCACGCTTAACATCTTTTGTTCTTATCTCCAGTGAAATAACACCTCAGGATTAAAGTTTCTGGCTTATCAATATGTTCTTCAGCAATGATACTTAATGATAAGGAATCTAGTAAATTTGTTTAATCACTGTATATTTTAATTTTTTTGCATCTCTATTTTCTTTGTTGGATCAAAAATTCTCTAATTTCGCAAATACAGTATGTTCTCTGAGCCCTCTGAGGATATCAGGTCCACTATTTATCGAGTTTACATTTTACTCTGGTTCCGTTTTTTCAACTCTTAATTCTCGGTCCGATGTTTTCTTTTAAATGATGTTGATTTTTCTCAAAGTTGGTGATCCAGGACCACCTGTCTACATTTGTATCTGTGATTCTTGGTTTCAGTGTAAAAATCCCCCCTGATCATGGCAGCCTTGTCTGCTCCTCCTCTTAGAGCGCTTCATACCGTACAGCAGTCACCTGGGGCCACCCCATCCCTGCGTCCACCATCCAGGACCTGCAGCCATGCTGGGGTGCCATTTTTGGTCTCTTTCCACATACATTTCAGATTATGGCTCCCTCCTTTCATTCCCTGATATTCCTGGCCCAACTGAGTATTGTCTTGGTTTATAGTATCATTATAAACTTACTCGATCATTTTTTGTGATTTCCAAGGATTTGGGCAGGTAGGGAAGATTGGAGTTTGCTATCTTGATTTAATCTTGAGGGGACAGCCAGGAGTCAAACTCATGACTCTGTGCTCACCCAGCAAGCAGTCGAGCCACTGAATTCTATCCCTAGCCCCTTCACCTCGCTTTGATCTTTTAGTTGACATTACATTGGTGGAGTTTCTCTGTAGCATGAATATTCTGGTGAGTGTATAAAAAACAAAAACCAAACTTCCCCCACAAAAACATAAATAAGCTTCTTTTGAAAAAGGTATGTATGTGAGTAGTAAAATTTTGGGATGGAAGGCAAGCATACAAATTGCATATTACTACAATGTGCTTTTTGACAAAGCCTTAACTAGCTGAGACACAGCAGTTGCTAATTAAATGATGTGTTAGTAAGGTAAAGCCAAGGCTCAGAAGGACTCTCATAAATTATCAATGTATGTATTAAAGCTTCTCCCCTGCTGAGGTAACAAGCGCGTCTTCTTTAGGAAAAAGAAAAGGGGGGAAAACCCTCAAACTCCTTAAGAAGTAATAGAGCCACCCGTGTGGGGCTGGGGAGAGCCCAGTACTGTGAAAGGTCAGGCGGCCTTTCTGATCTGAGATCAAACAGTTTGATTCAAAGGCGGGAGATATGGACGACTTGGAAAGTGATCAATAATAATAATAATAATAATAATAATAAGACTGTGGCTTTCTTTTCTTGGTTGGTGTTCATATTAAGTATTCTGAAATCATTATTTAGATAGCATGTTCTTCTCTCATAATTTTTCTTGTGGTATTGAAGATCCAACTCTTTTCCCTGGGCTACATCCCAAGCCCTTCGAAAAAAATTTATTTTGAGACACAGACTCATTACATGGCAGTTGTCTAGCTGGGCTTAAAGGTATGATCCTCCTGCCTCAGCCTTCGGGAGTGTTAGGCTCACAGACTTGTAACACTACGTATCTCATGATTCTCATGGGAGGAAGGCACAACATATGAACGCATTATACTGTATTAATAATTTAATTTAAAACATTTTTAGAAAATGACCTCAGAGTTGCTGAATTCAATTCACCTGGTTACTCTCGAACACACAGACTTGCCACCTGTGTTTCCTGTCTATTTTAGCAGGGGCCCTTATAATACTAGCTTTCTGTGTGGGGATGGCAGTGGTCGGAGGGAAGAATGACACAAATGTTCAATAAACCTGTTCTGCAGAGAAGCAGGACACACCAAGCATGTCACCACCAAAGTGCTAGTGTGTTTTTCTGGGTCACCTCTTACCCTAGGTAAAAACGTTCAAGTTAATTTGGTTTTGTGAAAGGATTTCCCCCCAAAACTATGACTAAAGATTGTTACAGCACCGTCCTTTCCTACCAGGAGAGCAGCATCTGGCTTAACCCACCGATTCTGTCAGCGCTCAGCACGCAGGTCACTCTACGCCTTCTCCGTCTTGTCATGCTTTTACGTGTCTGTCACATACACGGCAGCCCGGGGCTGGGCCGCCACAAGAGACAACATGTCCTAGGCGCAAAAGTCACAAAGAAACCTCAGGTGCAGGTGCTGGAGGGAATGAAGTTGGCTTTAGAGGTCAGCAGAATCCACTGGATGCCAGTTAGAATGCCACAGCTGCCTGTCAGGCACAGTTCTCATGTGTCATTAGGAGGGGGACACTGGCGGTGCCACAGCCCGAGAGCAGCGGCTTCTCACTGGGACAGAGCCTGGAAAACTCAGTCCTGAGTGGCCAAGGAGCGTGAGGAGCCACGTGGGGCAACCACCGGGTCTGTTGGGGCTGAAATTCTCACAGCTCCTCTTGTTTGTTCTGGGGATGATGGATGGGGCCACAGACTCTCCTGCGTGGTCAGGGCCAGGTGCTGACGAAAACCTCATCGCTCGCCGGGATCCACGCACGTCCCTGCCGCTCTGCCTCTGCACCACCGCGTGCATTTTCTAAAACAGGTCTGGCTTCTTTTAATACCAAGTCAACACCTTTCTGAGCTTACTTCATAAAGACGCTTTCCAGGGATCTGTACCAAGTTGCCATAAATGCTCTTAACAGAGAGCTAGAGGGACCGTGTGTCTTTCTACGCCAGCATTTCTTTTGTTCTTTAATGGGTAGCTGATGTGACAAACTACGGAGGAGGGCACATTCTGGGAGAGGGAGTGGACATCTACGAAGCCCATAGGCAAAATAAATTTTATCTCTTCTCCAAAGAGTAAGAATACTGCGATAGGGGTGTAGCTCAGTGGTACAGCATATGCTTAGACAGCCAGGCATGTAGCTTGGAGCCGAGGCCCTGAGTTTAATCCCCAGTACTGAAAAAAAGATGTGTGTTTACAATGTGTGAGGCGTTGTTTGATCCTTAGCACAAGGAGAGAGAGAGAGAGAGAGAGAGAGACAGAGAGACCGAGAGACAGAGAGAGAGGGAGAGAGAGAGAGAGAGAGAGAGAGAGACAGAAAAGGAGAGGAAAGGGGAGGAGAGGAGAGGAGAAGAGAGAGACAGACAGAAAGAGTGAGAGGGAGAGAGAGAGAGAGAGAGAGAGAGAGAGAGAGAGAGAGAGAACACACCAGTATCCTGGATGCCAGTGCCTATCAGAACAGTCCTCCTGGGGGTTTCCTGTCTGCTCTGTGTGATGTGAGCTGGTCACATGGGGAATCGCCTGAGTCCTCTGGGCATGTGGGCCCCATGGGGAGGCTGACTCTTCACTGACACACCATAGGCAAGAGGTTGCGAGCAGAAGGAATCTGGGTTAATGAGTATCTTGTGCTGGGACTCTGGGCCCGTCCTCCTGGGCAGTCAGAGGACGCAGCATGGAGAGGGAATGTACTGGCCTTCTGTGTCAGCTTCGAAGGAAAGAACTGACAGGCTGCCCACAGATCTGCTGTCTTCTGGAGACAGACACAGAAGCCCCACTGCACTGTCCCATCGTGCTCTGCGAGGAGAGTGCACTGAGCCTTTGCATACCCCAAAGTTACCCAAGGGAACAGGCTGGCCCTGAGACCCCCCCAGAGGCCCAGAAGGAGCAGAGGTCGCTGGGGAGCTGCACGGATCATGGAGCTTCAGGGTGACAGGTAGGTGCCTTGGAGAAAAGAGTCATGTGGGCTGAAGGGCTGAGCACAGGTGCTGGGCCCAGAGGACACCAATGGGTCCTGATGGAGTGGCAACACTCAGGGTGCCAGCATCCCATGGGGCTAACCTTGACCTGTGGGGCAGGGCTGCCGCAGTGGCCACAATGGGAACACAGTGCTGGGGGACAGAATCCAATATGGCAGCTGTGGGCTCCCCTGAGAGGGTCTGGATGAAGGTCATGGGCAAAGTGTGGGAAGTACAGAGCCTGGAGGAACAATATCAGCTTTCTTGTCCCTCAAGCACTTGCAAGTTCAATCTGCTTTGAGATCAGAGTGACATGACTACCCTTCAAATGCTGGGTTCTGGAAAAGTTCCTCACAGTTAATGGCTAAATTATTTTTCTTTCATATTTATTATGAAATGACATTTTCTGTTAATTTCATTCATCCTCATCACAGTATTGGAAATATAGACTAGAAAACAAGCACCTAGTATTCTGAGCATATGTATTTACAATCAAAAGAAAAGCCAAGTGGGAACCAGGAAATTTCTGGAATGCCCTTCCAACTTGTATTAACTGATGATTTTTGATTTCCTGAATCTATTAATTTTTTTAACTTGAGCTCGCCATTTCATTGGTTGGAGACATTTTAGGAACCCAGATCTCTGAAGCAGGCACACAGCACAAACAACAAGAAAATCATAACCATTGAGCCGTCTCCGCTGCTCCCAGACTCCTCTCCATCAACCCCAGTCCCAAATCCCTCCTTTATAAGTCTCTCAAAGCTAAATTTGATCCCTCAAACAAATTTTAAGAATCAAAGACACATTCCAACAAAAATCAAGTTGCAGCATCTATAAATCCCAGATTCCAGGAAGACAACTCAAAATCTCAGTGTAATAGCAGTGGAAAGATTTCATATTTTATAACTACTGGAAAAAAAAAAAAACCCTGTACTCCTAGTAAGAGCAGAACAAATTAAGATGAGATATAAGTGGTTTGAGTGAAGTTAAAAGTATTTGTAACCACAGATTTTTGATGTGCATAAAATATTTGATTACCTAATAGAGAATCTTTGGGAGAAGTGTACCCCTTTTGTCTTGTCTGTGATAAGAATCATCAGAGTGGATATAATATGCTTTTGCTATTTAACAATATGCATTTAAAATATGTCCAGGGGGATAAATGTAAGTGCTCCACACAGCATGGGAGATAACAATTACTTACCCTGTAGGCTGGCTCTCAAATTCTTCTGACCACTGCTCTTGAATATCCTCTGTAGAGAGATCTACATCCCGGGTGGTGGCAAAATTGAACTCGCTGCCTTCATTTCCATGGAAATAAATGGAGTTCCCATCTGACTGACAGCTATGCTGTGGATAAAAAGAGAGCATGGGGTGGCTGTTGAATTGGTTTTGTAGCTTTCTCTGTCTTACTCATGTATAATTTGAGTTTTTAGGGAAGTCATTATATTATTCCCTCTAGGATGGATTCTCCGCTCAAAAGGGCTTGTTACCTCCCTTTCCCTCCTCTTTGGTCTCGTTTAATTTGATTACAATTCCAGACTAACTTATCAAGTTATCACAAAAAAGCAGTCAAGAGGGCATATAGAGCTTTACCTTCTCAGCCTTCAGTATAAAACAAGAATATTTTAATTGGAGTAATTTCCCATCTTTATCCTAGTCCTTGTAGAAATTAAGTCTGATAATGACTTGCTGTATATTTTAAATTCTGTGGTTATGGGCTAAATTGCACTGACCTTTTCAATATTCCGTATATTTCCGACTTGCCATTCAAATCTCTCACAATTTGTCTACAAATGGAATATGAGTAGAATAGCCAGCTAATCAAAACATGGAACACAGAAAAGGTCAAAGTCGTCCCAGCCACAATCGGGTGGTCTCAGACAGCTTTGGGGTAAGTCTCTGACCTGACCTAAGCAGCGCATGAGGGTCCGAACTAAGAGCTGAGAGCTCACAGACTTTGTCAGTTTCCAAAAATAACACTTGCAAGGAATAAAAAACCAATTTCTTGTGATTCTTTTTTTAAACCTATATATATATTTAGCTTGAAGTGAACAGTCAAGGGGAAAATCAGACTCTCAAGTTGAAGAAACTGAATATGCACGTCTCAAAATTATAAGCTTACATTAAGCCCAGTTGTGGTCACATATGGGGAAATGCTAATGTATGTAACCAAAAGTTGTCTTCAGATTTTTATACTCTTAAAATCAGATAGAAATGAAGACGAATAATTGGATAAGAATGTACCAGGTCCAGGGACTGAGAGCTCTGAAGGGCAGGGATCAGGTCCATTTTGTTCCTTGCTGTATTCTGTGTCTTAGCCCAGCACGGCTCTATAGTGGGCATTCAGAAATATTGGTTGACTAGTTTCATAACTGAATGAATGGATGGCATGTCTACGCCTTCTCAGGTAAACAGTAATTCTTTGATGGAGAAATCATGACATAAAAGGCATTAAATAAGGCATGGGGGGAGCTTGCAATGTAATAATACATAATCTTGGGTTTCAAACATCTCAGGCTAGTTGAGTTATATCAAAGAGAGGCCCCATGCTGGGCAGCATGATGCCATATGGCCAGTAAGTGAGAGAAGGTAGAAGTCACCACGGTTAGGGATGCTACAGACAAACAGGCTTCCTGCATGGGCCAGTCTTCAGATGGCTTTAGAAAGGACAAACAGAAATCCCAGCTGGAGGACAAACATGAATGCATTACAAAGGCGATAAAGAGCAGTGATTTGAGAGCTCGACCAGAGGCTGGATGGAAAAGACCCTCTATGGTCATCCTGGGAACTGCCACACTGTTCTTTTGGCTGTGGTGTGCCAGAACAACAGTGAGAGGGACACAGAGAGATGCCCACAGTTGGCACGGTGGGCTGGGATGGAATCAGACTTGCTGCTAGGTTGGAAGAGTAAATGCAATACCTGCAAGTTCCAGCGAGTGGGACTGTATGATTTTAAAGGGGTCGCTTCACAGCACCGACACACACCCCCCGCTTAGGCTGGTCATTAGTTTAGGTAACACTGTAAGGCACGGCCGAACCCACTGTTGAGAATCTTCTTCAAATGCAGTGAGTGTCATGGATGCTAAACTGAGCTCATTAGGCTCAACTCCTCACCCAGACATACTGATCCAAAGCTAGAATCCAGTTTATTTAACAATAAATAGAAATTGTCAAGGAATGAGAAATCTAGATATCTTCCGTTCCTACACATACTGTAAAGACAATCCATGCTGGTTAGGTTGCAAAGTTTACTTTCCTAATAAAAAACTTACTGAGTTCTAAATAACGGTCTTCGTTATTATCCCAGTCTGCAATCCTGATCAACTGTGGCCTGCATTTACCCAGAATGAATGTAAAGATGCAGAGATCAATACAAAAGTCAATATCCATGGAAATGGCATACATGAAAAACCTGTTTTTGTGAAGGAGATAATTTATAATTTCAATAATATATTTGTATGATAAAAGAATGTCTCTCCTAACATGAAACTTTGGCCATTTCTGACCAAATATCAATTTAATTATTTCAATGTTGGCTTCACAGAACATAGAATTGTTTATAATATTGAAAACTGTTAATACCCAATTTTTGCTAACCTGCTGAGTTTTATATCATTAATGTACCTGATGTACATTGTAGACTTAGTTGAGATAGAAAATTTATGAAAAAGCAAAATTCTTAAAAAAATGGGTGGTGTGTAGTTAAGTTAGTTTCACATGGTGAGTTGGCACAATTGAAAGGCAAAAGCATATTTTAAAGGACCTTTTTATTAGCTGATTTGCTCTATGTTTGGCAGCTGAACAGGCCATTTACAATTGTGTAACTACTAAAAATTAACAAATACTTACTTTACCACTATAATCACCAAGTGTCAGCAGATGAAATACACGTAATATGGGAAAAAACTCCCTTCAAGTAAATCTTAACCAATTTTCGTATTAGTAGGATCTAAAACTTGTCTTTGACAAGTTTCTATGAGAACAGTATAGTCTTGAGCGTGGTTTTAAAATCACTACAAGGCTGTTTATAACCAATTTATAGCAAATGCACAACAATCAATAAAATTTGATCAAACAAGGCAGTGTTGTTTTTGTTGCTTTGTCTCTTTGTTTTTAATGGCAGTGAGTTTGGGCCTCTGCCCTGGAAACTGCTCACCCTGTCTGCCATGTCTAGCCTTGCTCCCCCTCTCCGAGGAGCCCAGCACCCTGTCCCTGTGGAGTGTACTGCCCTGGGAAAGCTCCCTTCTGTGTAGTCTTTCAGTAAGGTGACACTTATCAAAAGACGCCCGTGTCCCCCCCCCCAAGCCAGCAGCCCCAGCTCAGCAGGCAGTGGCTCCGTCCTCCCCTCTGATCAAGATGCGGCTGTCATTTTCCAGGCAGCAGAATCTGGAGGCACACAGAGCACACGCAGCTTGCAGTGCTCTCTCTGCACCATGTTGACGAGATCAGGATGATTTCCGTGTCTATTCTGCCCAGAACCCTGTGTCTCCAAGGTTGGCAGTGACAGCAAGATGCCCCTGACAGTGACATGAGCGGGTAGGGTACCATCAGGCTGTAAGCAATGGTTTAGTCTGCCACGCGGTGAAATCCTGAGCTACCTGAGAGCAGCAGGCCTATGGAGCCCCTCTCTGTCTAAGAGTAGATTATATCTGGGCTCTGTATGTGGGGTTTCAGATCAGCCAGAGGGCCAGTGCTGGGTTCTCCTGCTACAGATCCTAAATTAATTTCAAAGCAAATTAGAGCTCTATGTTAACATTCTTGTATCACTGGGGCTCAATTTGTCTTAGAATTGGGTTGATTTCCGAGGCATTCTTCAATTTATGAATTGATAGCTGCATGCATTTGGGTTGAGATCATTTTAGGCTTTCACCTGTTTCCGCATCTCTCTGCCTAGGCATGGGAACCCAGGGCTGCTTGAACTTTTTCCTAAAATCTAAATCAACTCATTTAGCAGGACAGGAATCCGGGAAGTGCTGAGGAAGGCAACAACTGAGATGGTCAAGAATGAGAGCTCAGTTACTACCCATGCTCAGGGAACTGGGGATCGGAATTAGAAGGCGCACTCAAATGCATTTTTTGTGCTTACTGGTTAAGGAGGTTTTGCATGAATCATTTAACACTCTTATGCCTCAGTTTCTCAGGTTGAAGAATGGAATCAATGCTATTCTCTAAACAGGTTGTTAGAAATATATTGAAGACTGGGGATTTTGCTCACTGGCATAAGTGCCTGCCTGGCAAGCTCAAGGTTGAGGGTTCAACCCCCAGTACAAAAAAAAAAAAGAGAGAGAGAGAGAGAGAGAGAGAGAAATATATCAAGGAGGTATTTTTTGTGCCAGGGATCGAACTCATGACCTTGCGCTTTTGTGCTTGCCAGGCAGGTGCTTAAGCCACTGAGCTAAATCCCCAGCCCCCTAAGGAGGTGTTTTTTGAAACTTCTAAGTGCTACAAAAATAATCACTTTTTCTGAATATATGTTTAACATATGCTATTATATTACATATGCTTAGCAGTTGTTGATAGACATATAGAAGAGTTTTTAAAAATGTTTTTTGCTTCTCATCGGAATAGTCATTTAAATTCTTCACATCAAATTAAAAACTTTAGTAAAATGCACAAGATTATGTTCTACTATACAACATGGTAAGAATATACAAACACTCATGCATTATCAGGACACATAAAACCATCAATTAGAATTTTAAGAGTCCTCGAAATTTTGGCAGATTACCAAAGATTCTCCAAACACTGGAAAATTCTATAATACAAGATGACTGAAGCCACTTTTCTTACAGATGAAATTGCATTGTATAACGTCAATCTACTGTGTTAAAAATCCAAGCGAATCATGCACCAAGTATGAAAAGGATTTCAGGAAATTGCTTTCAATTTTAATACCCAGCTGTTTTTGTTCATCATCTATTCAAACTCATGTCATTAATATGCAATAACAATTAAAATGTAGACAATTTCAACAAACAATTAAATGTCTAATTTTGTGAAATTCATAAGCTGATCAAAACTGATCAAAAAAGAATAGTTTGGAATTCAGGACTATTTTATTTTAGGCATCATGAAAATTTATCAGGTTTCCCTGAACAAATCATATATCACAAGTAACTTTTTGAGTCATAACTTTTGGTTGACTTAGATCAAATATCAGGTAAATGAGCATTTATTTTGGATAAAATAAAGGTATAAATTCTGCAGAAGACTAAAATTTTTATTTTTAGCCCTTTTAATGTATGTTAATGATTCCACCAGTTATTTTTATTTATGTTTTAGCACAGGCTGATGACATATACCTTAAACCCTGAACCTGCAAATACCCAATTGTTAAAAATCCCTTAAGAAAGTCTTTCTGTGTTTCTCTTTGTTGATCAACCACATTTTTCTTTGCCCCTAAATAGGTTTCCTTTATATGACAAGCAGAACATAGTGTAACAAAGTGACAAGAATTTGCCATTCAGAAAAGCATCAACAGGACACATCCGTGCGAATTCCTCTGTATAACAAGACCTTGGCCATAATTCAGGTTGGTGTTTTCCTAAGGTTGTTCCCTATGCTCAGCTGAAAAGTTTCACAATTTTACTTCTGGACATGTGAATAAAAAAACTTACAGTCACCGCCACCATTGTTTAATTAGGTTTTCATCAGGAGTTCGTAGAGGTACCTCTTGATGTTATCTCCCTGGGGTCTAATGACCTTGACAGGTCTTCCAAGCACCTAGTCTCAGAATCTATTTTTTTGACGATACCCTTTTTGTTGGAATTAGCACACGGGGTATTTGGGCAATGCCAGCTTGCAGAGAGCTGGTGGCAGATGGAATGAAGTCTGCCTAGTACGCCTTCCCCTCCACATGAGCAGAGAGCCATCCATTTCCTCCATTAAGGAGTTGTCACTCAGCCCACCCAGCTGGAAGACCATTTTTGATAGCCAAGCTGGCTGGTGGCAGACAATCCAGATACAAAGTGCACTTTAAAAGGAAGCTAAAACATCATTTGTAGGAAAATTGAAAATGCATGGCTTCCACCACAGCCAATTTTTTAATGACTGTAATATTTTAAGTGATTATTTTTGCCACTTCAGATTGCTCCTTAGAGAGGAGAGGTTTTTTAATTAAAATCTAGGCAATGCAAACAGATGAGATATGAGAAGCAGAGGAAAGAGAAATCAGATGAATAAAATTAATTAGATGGCATTGTTGGCAGAGCCATAAATTAGCCACTGTCTAGCCAGAAATAAAATACACTGAAACAGGACATTCTGGATGAATAGCAGACACATATATGCTGGAGGGGCTGGAAGTTGATTGACTCAGAGCCTGCAGAGCCCTGCACTTCTTAAGCCTTTTGTTCTGTTACAGCTGTCATCATAGAGAAATGCACATCTCCCATCCCCTGGCTCAGTGGTTTTATAAGGTAAAGAAGTTTACTTACTACTAAAACAAAAATAGGAAAAGAATGATTTCTCTACTGGAGAAAAATGAATTTTTATTATTTTCCACACATTCAATTTCTAGGTAACTTAGTGCAGGTTTAAAAACTGAAAACTTGGCCCTGAACACAGCCCAGGTGCAGGCGGGCTGAAGTGTGTCTTCTCTAGTCCACAAAACAGATTGAGCCATGCTACTGAATTTTAGGGAGCTTCAAGGCTGTTTTCTTTCTCATCTTTTTTTCTGGATTCATTAAGCATTCACATTGGAACCACTCTGTGCTAAGATTTATAAAGATTCAATTTATGATATATTTTGTGACAAGTGTATAATTACTTGGCAATAGTTATGACAACTCTAAAATGGCAATGGTGATAGATTTGAATTGGAATAATGAGAGAAAAAAATAACAACGTAAAATTCCATAGGGCAGTTGCTAACCTTGTCCTTGGGTATCAGCTTGACTTTCAGAGTCAAGTTTTTAAACTTGACTGCTCAGACTAAGCCCAAAGATGCACACACAGGTGGGATCCAGGCTGCATTATATAACCCAGAACAAAAAAATCCAGATTTTATAGTAAAGCAGACTTGGCTTCAAAATTTCAAGCCATTTGGTATCTCTGAGCCTCTGTTATTTCATCTGTGAAATGGGGATAATTGTAAGGATTAGATGAGTGACTTCAGGGAACACGTCTACCCCAAAATTAGTGAATCAAATATTAGCATCTGTAAATACTAATGTTCATTTTCTCCTCCCTTTCTCTTATTCATTTAAAAAACCTTATCTTAAAGATTGTCACTCTTCTAGTTTCTGTGCTGGGTTCTGTGCGAGGTGCAAAGACAATGGGGTTGTCACTGTGGCTCAAGCGCCTGTGTAGCACAGAACAAATTTCACTTCTTGAACACTGTATTAACTTAGTGATTAAATGTTTCAGCTTCAGACAAAAACACAATACAGCAAAACAAAACACACATTCAAGCACTGAGGCTGTGGGGATTTATGTGAATGGTGATTTTCTGTAGAATTTATCAAAATTAGCTCCTTCTGCATTATTGTGACGAGGTCACGGTGACCTGGCTCATTTCCACATTTCACTAACGCTATTCCACATTAATTACTGAACAAATAGGCCTCACTGGGGGAAATTGTGAAAAGCACACTATTACATTTAACCCTTCCTCCCCGAAGCACTCTTATTAGCTTAACAAATTATATCCTGGCTCATTCTACGACATCACATACCCACCTCTGGGGGGACACAGGACAATAAGAGCAATACAATCTGGAGAGAAGAAAAGCCAAGCAAAGGGAATCTGGGTGGACAGCATGCAATTAACCATGCTGGAATCCGGCCAGAAAGTCATAGTTAACATCCCGGTTCTTAATGGAGAAAGACATGGGAACATGGATTAGCCACAAGTCGTACTGAGCTCAGGTTTATCCTCATTAGAAAGCCAGGACAGTGATCTGTAAAGCACATTACTGAAAAGCATATAATTTCCCTCTATTTATCTTTACAGTCTAAGAAAACAAAATCACGTGGATTACGGAAAGCCTTTTCTGCAGCACTCAATGGCGTATTTTACGGAACATGCACTGGGCATCCTAGTAGGCGGGCATCGCTTTGCCAGGAGGTTACATTGCCAAAAAGTAGGTTAAAAATCATTTGTTTTAGGGTTTTCCCCCCATTATTCTAAATTTGAGTTATGACCTCAAACTTTGCAAACAAATTAACAAATTTTTTTTTCCTCCATTACAATTTGGACATAATGACCTTTTCCCTCTGTTGATGATTCAGCACTTTGTGACAATAATATCAGGCAGGTGACAGTGGAAGCTGAGAATGTAAGTTTCAATTCTTATTCAGGACTGGAGACTCACCCACTGTCCATCGGGATGGCAAATTTGGCAAACGCATAATGTACAAGAGCAATAAGAAAATTAAAGACTCCCTGTTCATGATTCCCTTCGGGGATTGTTGATTTACCTAAGGCTGTTACGCTTGTCAGGGCTGGTTGGTGTTTGTTAAACTAGGAAAACGGATACTATTGGATGTTTATCAACATTAAATGTGGTAAAAAAAGAAGCAACTGAACTAAAAAAACAGAGTAGGATGGAAGAGACTAGGGTACAGCTCTTCTAAATTCTGTGTCTCAGCTACTGCACACCATTGGTCCAAACCTGCCCATTTGAAGTGATCACTTGTAAGGGAATTTCTTTTAGATACATGCGATCGTGTATTAAAAGTCACAGGCTGCTCTAAAGGCCAAACCTTCGTAACACAGCTGTGACATTTAGTGCTGATTTACTTCTCCGTTCTGGTTGACATAAATGTGGAGAAGGAGTAATCTGGAATTCTGTTCTGGCCATACCATAAACGAGGGTAGGAAACGGAAAAAGATTAGCAAGTGAAGGCACAGTAATCAGAGTGGGAGGGTTTCTTCAGAATAAACACATGCGGAGCAGCACCTGCCTCACAGTGACCTGTATTTAATCTGCAGGTCGGTTTCAGGGGGAGGAAAGCCAGTGATTCATGCCTTTGCAAGCTGAGGATAAGCAGGACAGCCAGGCAGACAGAAGCCTTTGCTAATGTCGAGTGAGCAAAGCACTTTCCTTCTCCTTCTCTCTTACACACACACATGTACTACCCCACCCTCCACATATCAGAAAGTCATGGATGATTGTCACACTCAAAATAAATATCTTGGCTATGGCCGCAGATGGGCATAAGCAAACAGAATGGAGCAGTTGTCTGACCAGTATTCACCGCCATGGGATATGGATCCATCCAGAAATTCTGCTTCGTGAGGTGTCATTAAAGGACAAGGAGACAAAACGGAAAGTTCCCTGCTCACAGCCTTCTGCCAATCATCAGTCCCTGGTTCTCGCCGGAGCCCACCCCGACCTTTGCAAGGTTTCTTTCCACCGAAGCTATGGACAGGAGAACACTGCACAGCTCTAGGCTGACCTTCCCACAAATGTACACGCCAGGCTTTTCTTGAAGTTGAAATGAAGAATATTCTCAGGTTGCAGGGTTCGTATCTGAGGAGCTGGAAGGAGACAACTTATGGTTGACCAGCTCAGCAGTTCTTGTTGTGGTCGACGGAAGTCATATGCTAAGCATCCGGGGTCTTGTAGACACCCCATACTCATCTACTCTACGTGTCTACTGGTGGCGTGATCTCCCTCACCACGCTGGCCCCCACAAAGCATTCAGAACACACTACCAAGAATACTGCTAGTATCATGATCATTACGATTGCTGGTCAGAACGACTGCCACTCTTATTTTTGTTGATTAATATCCAGTATCTATGCCATCTCCCTTGCACTGCAAGTGTCATTCCTGGAAATGAAAATCCCATTCAGGACAAAATGCTAAACTTTGATACTATTTTAAATGAAGAAAACAGGAAAATTTCATTCATATAGTTTAATCCTTGATGGCAAAACCAAGATGCTTTTCCCAGCCAGTGCTCCAGAAAGTGCCTTAAGACAAATCATGACCCTGCTCTGTGTGGGCAGAGCGTGGCACAAACACAGCCACTGGACAGAGCTGCTGCCAGGTGACAGGAGCTAGAGTAGCAAGCGTTGTTCTAGCACCTGCTGCTGCTGATCTGATACAGGGCACTCGGTATTTTTAAGACAGGACCTACTGACGTGAATTCTTGATCATTCTGGAAATTACATGCAAAGGTTTATAAAAAGGATGTGATATTTCTTAAGAGATGGTGGCAGAGTAATTGTAACCCATAATCAAGACAGGGGCGTGGCGGGCCCCCACTTTGCCAAGGGCAGCTGTAGAGATCACTAAGGAGGGTGGAGCTCTGGGAGCACCTACTCAGACTCTACACTTCCTGACATTGAAGGCCTCCTGTGGCTGGTGGTGAACGAGCATTGCTGAGGGTTTTGTGGGCCACAGAAATGAGGGCAGTCATTAGAAAACAAGAGAATGTGGTGCACCTTTCATTCCCATGGGAAAGCTCTCCGGAAAACCCCTGGGAGGGGACTCCGGCAGGGTCACGGATGTGCAGGAGAGTGGAGGAAACACAGATGGCTACACGGAAAGAGCATATTGATGCTGCAACCTCTGAGAGTCCTCCTCGGTTTTCCAACCCCAAATCAAGCAGCCTGACAGGTCTAAGGCCAGGTCGGACATTAAAAGCTGGATCCCTATATATCTCCTTCACATTACTGCCTCACGAGCCGACAGATGCCAACGGCCCGCTACCAGCCCAGGGCAGATTTAAACTGGTGACCTCTAATTGCAATTCTCCAGCTCAGGTAGCTCTTTAAGTTAACGACTCTACTGGGTCTTTTATCACTGTGCCCTACTTGAGATCAACAAGGATAGGGACAGATGAAATGGATTAAATACTCCCAAAGAAACTGAAGGAACTATCTAAAGAAGGCAAGAGAAATATGCCCTGTGAATGATAATGATTCATCATGAACTTTGCTATTTGACCTGTCACCCTCAAACACTGTTTGCAAGACCAGCAGCTGGATAGTTCTCTACTATGTATAAGCATTTAAAAATACTTGCAGTTTATAAGGAAAACTACTATTCTGTATGAACGGCACTGAAATAATTCTAATAAAACTGTTGCTTATTTTATGCCAAGGACAATAGTTGTATCCAATGTAGTCAGTTAATAGATTTGATTTTAATATTACTTTAATGGCATACAAAAATAACAAAATTCATGAAATCTATACTTTTCCTATGCTACTAAGGTGTATTTGGGAAACTAATGTAACTGGATGACTTTTTTGGACCCTCAGCCTTCTTAAGACCAGTTTGCATGCAAAGCGGGCAGGCTAAAGTAGCTTTTAGGATGAATATGGATGGCCACTGGAAAAAGAATGGGGTCGTCTTTGCATCCAGTCGCCACCCAACAATTCCTGCTTATGCAACTTGCCAGTGTGCTAGAGAAGGGAAGCAAAGCACAAGGTGACACAGACAGTGATATCTGAACTGGACCCCCAGGGATGGAGAGGGATTAGCAGGCAAAGAAAAAGGAGATGTGAAAGGGTCGGAGTGTGGAATCCTGAGCGGTACTGATGATGCTGGAGCAAGATGGAGGCAGAGAACGGGAAGGAAAGGTGAAGGCTGGGCCAAGATGGAAGGACTGTGGGTTATGCGCTAGAGTTTGGTTTGTATCCTGCTGACATCCGCAGGAAGACATGGACTCGAGTATGGAAGTAGCATAATGTAAACTGCCTTAGGGAATGAGAGAGGCTGGAGAGTTTGTCAGTTGCATCCCTTTGGACAGTTCTTGGCTCTGACATCTTTGTTAGATGTTTAAGTACGGTTAGAATACTGATTTCTTTCTTCATAACCCTACAACCCCTACTTTACTGTACCTCCCACAGAGGTTACTGCAAATGCCTCCTGAGTCCACAGAGAAATACTTTAATATTCATATTTCCTGGAGTTGTCTTCAGGTTAGCAGTCAATACCTGAGATGGAACAGTGACTTAGAATTTTTTGTGTGTACCAGGGATTGAACTCATAACCTCGAGTTTTCCAGGCAGGTGCTTATGCCTCTGAGCTAAATCCCTAGCCCTGTGACCTATAATTTTGAAAATAAAATCAGTTATCCCCATGGAGTCATGGGGGAAACAGGCAAGTGATTTAACAGGTGGTTTTGGGGACAAACACAGGACAGTCTGGAAGCATGTGAGGTTACACTCACCGCCCTGAAATTAGATTCCTGGATGGAGATCTTGGTCCTGCCAGTGCCTTGTGGTGTGTTTTGGTCCTGTTATTCAACACCTCCATACTCCGGTTTCCACATCTGAGAACTGGAGCACCGTATTTATAGGTTTACAAAGCTCCACTCACATGCATGTGTACATACATCTGTATATCCCATGTGCGTGGACATAACAGTAAGTGACAGGGAGTGTCAATAAAAATGAGTCCTATTACTTAGCCATATAGGTCTATCTGTGCTTGAAATTTTTCTTTGAGTGACTGTTTTTATAATAGGCGCACTTTCTCAGTTGTTAGTAGACTTAAACTTTGATTTTGTTAAGATGGAAATAATCTGGAAACATTTAACGAACACAGAAAAGGTAAAGTGCAGCTTGAACAAACATGTAAAGCTCTCAAGACCCAAAGTTCAAAGTAAATTAATGCTTGAAACATGGTTTGTAACCAATGGGAAAACTGAGATGTGTTTTCTAATTGGTTTTATTCATTTTTTTTTATCTCAGAAGTCATCAAATAAGAGAATGATACCTGACAAATAACTAAATACATTTTAAATGAATGATTTTTATACTTACAGCTCTAAATCACCTGGAAAAAGTAATTTTTTTCTTACTGAGATGTATGAACTAATCCAAAAAGATGGTCTTGCAAACAAGTTAAAAAACAAATTCTTACTACATTTGTTTGCAAGTTTAAAAAGGAATGCCAGAGAAAAATTTCTGACAGGCAACTCAAAGACAATGACACAAATCACGGCCACAGCTGGGGTTTTTGTTGTTGTTGTGTTTTTTAAAAATTAGATTTAGGCTCTTTGGAAACTCTCAGCTGTGGGACTCGTAAGTCTACGAGTAGGATGAAAGACCATAATGCAAAAGCATACTCTGCCCAAAGTTGTAATTTAATTAAAATTACCACTGAAGCAAAACCACACTTCATGCATTTTTATCGTGGGTGACACCAAAGTACATGCATTAAGACACTGAACAGTTAATTAGATTAGTATAATGGCTTGTAAAATGAGGCAGAAAAAGTACATTTTTGCAGCAAAGGATACTAGACCAAACATAAGTAATCATCATGGGAAAAGGGTTTATGTACCTGCTTGCCAGTGCCGAGTGACACGGGTAGAAATCCCTGTTGATTACACGTGGCAGAAGGAGAGCACACAGGCTGTCCTGACACACACCCTTCTCTGCATCCGTGCAAAGGGAACGCACAGACTCCTTTTTTTATCGGTACCGGGGATTGAACTCACAACTGCCTGCTTGCAAGGGAGGCGCTTATGCCGCTGAGCTAAACCTCCAGCCCCAACACATGGACTCTTTGTAAAGAAGTCTTAGTTTTAAGCTCTTGGCCTGAATAACCTTTTCCATAAGGTGAGAGATTTTCCTGAACTGAGCAAAGAGGAAGCCTGTTTCTAATCCCTCAACTGAAGTAAAATAACTAGGGTTTGACTGGCTGAGGCAGCAGTCATTTGGGTCAGGAGGGTTTCTGCACTGAGAGCTTACAAAGTGATTGGCAGTCTTCTAGTAACTGAAATCAATTATGAAGTCAGCATTTAGATCTTTATATTCTGCTTGCTACTCATCCTCTGATCACGGTCTCAGCCAGAACAGGATAATTTATTATTATTTTCATTAGTAGTCACATTAAAAAATCATCCAAGTTGCATTTGCATTTTGCTTTTTGTATGTTGGGAACCTGGCAGGTCCCCTTGAGGGTCCAATGGCGTTTTTCTCTTTGCTCCTTCCTTCCACACACTTCTTGGGCAGACAAACTCATGATTTCTATTTCCATTCGTAACAACTGTTGATAATTTCCAGACTTGGATCTTTCCGTGAGTTTCTGACCTGTGATTCTAATCCTCTGCCAACTACTTTTCCCTTCCTTGTCCTCCAGACCTTCAGGATCTATAAATCCAAAACGAATGGACCGACTTCCTGTGACCTGCTCCTCCTCCTCTATTTCCTGTCTCAGTGAATGACAACCTAGGCCACTCCACGGCCCAAACTTGCCTTTGGCATCTGTCACCCTCTTATCTTCCCAACCAGCCCCCAGCCTTTCCTATTCCTCTCCTGAAAAATCATTAAACTATACCCACATCTCGCTCTCCATTCTCCCCTAAATGCAGCCACATCCCTCCATCAGGACATCCTCAGCAGCCTCCTATCTGGTTGCTTGCAATGTGCTCTTTCCTCTTGCATCCATCCTCGCCTATCACCTTCAGCACAAAGTACAAACTCTACAGCAGCTAGCAGCACCGCACCTCTAGAATTACGCATCTCAAGTCCACCTAAAATACAGTGGGCAACTGCTTTGAGCTTTGTTCACAACTTTTGCTTTGAGTTCTCACTTCCAGGCTTATCGGTGCTGCTGCAGCAGGATAGATAGATAGGATTGATTAAACAGCAAACATTTGTTTCTTACAGTTCTGCAGGCCAGGAAGTCCAAGACCAACGTGCTGGAAGACCGGTGTCCAGTAAGAGCCTGCTGCCTGACACTTCCTGTGCTTTATGAGATGGAAAGGGTCTAGAGAGCTCCCCGGGATGTCTTTTATGAAAGCATTAATCCCATTCATAAGCGTTTTGCCCTCCTCTCAAGGGTTCCATCTCCTAACATCATCATCTTTAGTTAGGAATTCAGCATATTAATTTTGAGGAGAAACGAAAGTTTAATTTCTAATAACCTTCATGTAAGCCTTCCAATTCCAGAAACACTATTCTCTTACGTGGCCATCTCCAGTTATCTGTCGTGTCTGTGTGGCTTGCCTATGCTCCTGGATAATCTTCCTTCTATTCAAATTCTGGACCTGTTGCTGTATGTTTTACTTTCTCCGCAAATCCTAACATCAGTGCCTGTGAGTTTGCATGATGATATACTTAACCGCCTCCCCAAAATGACAGTCATGCAAAGGGAGGAATTCTATCTGTCTTTTTGGGTTTATGTTCTGTGGGCTCATCCTTGAACATGACACCATGGTTCCTCAAAGGGAAAACAAAAACAAAACAAACAAACAAAAAACCAAAAAATTTGTGTAACAAATGAATAGATGATTTTGTCATAGTAACATTCTATCCTTAAAAGGTACAGTAAGGAAAATAAAAATCTTATGGTGGTTTTGGGAAAAAAGTTATCTTTAAATAACTTGGTTATTGAGCTTTAGGTTTCAAAAGAAGAAAGCAAGCAAAAGAGCTCCAACCTTAACCGTTGCTCCAGGGAAGAAGAGCCAGTTGCCTGTGTCCACTGGGTCAAGATTGTCTTCTAAAATGACTTGTCTGTGGGCCGCATTGATGACCAGGATGTTATCGAGGGCCCAGCAGGCTTCGTACACTTCCCCGCCTTGCAGACTCTCCTGCTTCCACTGGAACTGGACGCGCTCACCTTTGGCATCCTCGGGGAGGTACAGGATGTGGATGATCGTGCTGACGTTGGAAGGGGCTCTGGAACAGACGGTCACGTCGGGAGTTCAGCATCTACATTTTCATCTTAGGTCAGCATACTGATAAATTGCTAAGGGCCCAGGCTGGGCTTCAATGTGCAATCCTGCTTCAGCCTCTCAGAGTCCTGGGATTTTATATGAGGATCAGCAAATGGAAATTTGCTTAAGATTGTAGTTTCATTTTCTCAGAAACATGATATTCATTATGGATTAAAATGCAAACCCATAGCTCTGGAAATTTTCAGTATCTGATGATTATTACAATTTTCACATTGAGTGATGACAGTTTAAAACCAAAGGTCACTGAGAGTTTCACATTTACCACAAGGCAGGCACTTACTCAAGGAAGCCCGTGAAGAGGTAACTGAAGAGCAGGTGATGTTGACTGCCATTCTTATGTAAAAAAATACCAGTCTGCAATAGTTTTTGCATATGGTAGGTACTCAATTTAAAACAGTTTACTTAGCTTGATAAAAAGAAAAAGTAGAAAATTATGATCTTAATGTTGCTTCTTACTTTAAAATTATGAATCTATTAGAAGACATTTAATATTACATGTTTAATAATCAATCTTTATGTAATTATTATTTTATTACTAGCAATCAGATGCATTTTCATACATTGAGCATACATTTAGCCTCCATGAAATGTGAGATTTCCCATGAGAATTAAATATAATCATTTATAATTCTTTACAACTTCATGTAGATCAGTCTTTAAAAATATGACATAATTTAACATGATTTTTATATTACATCTGTTAGAATCTAGGTCCTTCTGCTATATAATAAAATATGTTTATTAAACATTTTATTCTAACAAAGTAGAAATCTGCTGTAGTAAAAATGATCGCCTTAGCCAAGATTAAAAAATGGTACTAAAATGCAAACTAGTAGTACCCTGAGCTGGCTATAAATCAGTTTTGGAAGGACTGGAGAAAAGTCATATTTCTCACCTTCCAATGGAACACACACACACACATATATCTCTTTCTGAAGAATTGTCAGCCAAGGTTATGGATGGTGTACCTTACCTTTGGGGGTAATCAATTCCCTTGTATTTTAAAATGTTTCATGATAACTATCTCTTTTGCTTCAAAAAGAATCTAAGCTTATGAAGAGAATACATTTTGGTTTTAAGCAGTGATTGGAAACATTTTCATTTTGATCACCAAAAATGAGGAAAATTTGCATTAATGAGTATGATGTTTTGGTACAGGGCCTAAAACTGTAAGTGCCATTACTTAAATAAAAAAAAAACCCAGTCGAATATCATTTTTATATATCGTTTCATTATTAATCATAAAAGCACATAGTTGTTTTTCAGCAAGAAATGTGTAGTATGCTTTATTTAAGGTATGGTAGATAGCATACAAAAAGTAACAATGTAGAGATATAGGTAAATCTTCCAATATTTATCCTACATTGCTTAAAGTCACTCACATAAACAAGAATTGAATATGAACGAATTTTTGTAATTAAATAGGAACTAGAAAGAATAGCAAAATATTCTGTTATAAAATTAGCAGCCTTAGCTGGATAAACAGCTCTCTGGTAAAGTGCTTGCCTACAACGCACAAGAACCTGGGTTTACTACCCAGTACTGAGGGTGAAAACCCACATGGCCTATGGAAGCTCGGTGTGTATTGGGTACCTGCAAACTAAATTTTATCCTTCTTGATGGGAGACTATTAAAATTTTTGAGTTAAAATCTACTGAGTTAGAGATACCTTTTTAAAGTTTGGTTAAACTTTAGATGCGAAGTTTCAGTTTATTTTTTAAAAAATCCTACTATGAATTTATACAAATTCACTTATTGTATGAATATACTTTTTATTCTATCTTCCTAAATAAATCTAGTTCTTTTAATAAGAAAATAAACTGAGGTAACAGCTTATGGAATAAAAGAAAACTGTCAGAAAAATTATAGGATCTATCTTTCTGACACGATGCTAATTTAAGGACTAAACCAATCATAATATCATTTTATAAAAGCTGGAGTTATTTATCCTTTTAATATCTTATACCTGAAATGAAACTCTCATTTTGAATTTTATTTTATGACTTAAGATTCTGTAGAAGTGGTAAACATAATTTGAGTTTTGATAATTTCACCAAATCTTTTCAACATGAATGAATTTTTTTCACGCATGTTACATAATTTTCTTACCAAAGGATTTTTTAATAAAGAAAACTTTATGTGACAATAAGTTGAATCATAATTATGCTAATGGACTTTAAAAATAGGCCTTAGGGGACATTAGAAGGAAAAGAACATGCTATTCTGCAGAGGATGCTATTGCAAAAGTTACGATCCTATGGTCCTTTTACCCAAAATAGTTTCGTACAGAGACTATGGATAGTAGGAAGTTCTAAATGGAAAATAACACTGACAATAATATCTTCCTAACATAGGACAGGACAGAGTAGTGTACTCATGTAATTCAACATAGCCATCAGGTTACTTGATACCGTGAAGAAAAGGCTATTGGTACATTAAAGGCATTGTACACATAGGGAAGTAGAAAGGTATTTATATGATAATTTATTTTAAAAACCCTCAAATTACAACAAACCTGATTTTCTCAAGTTGTATCCAGTCACCAGTATTATTTTTGGCATATGACACGATGATGCTGGGGTCCGAATAACTAAAGCGACATGAACCTGATCCTGTAAATAGCAATAACAATTAATTTCAAAGTTAATAAAGGAGCACTTATATATTATTCTTCATGATCAATATTTAGGTATCTATCCCCATTCTTCTAACTGTACTGAAATTTCCTGTGATATGTTCTCATAAATGTTTTTTGATAAATAATCTTAAGAATCAGAAAGAAGATTAAAAAAGATAAATTTCAGATTTCTTTAGAGATACACACCTACTAAATGATATTTAAAAAACAATGCTATGCCAAGAAACATCTAAATATTAATTATTAACAATGCCATCAATTTCTTGTAAGTTAATAACAACAGTGATTGCATTAGAGGGTAAATAAATCATTAAACTGAGAAACAAAATCACCATTTCTTTCTGCCTTGTGTATTAGCTAAGTGATAGAACAATATACAAGAGACTGAAATGTTGTAAAGAAAATTCCAGCGCTAACTGAATGGGCACTATTAGAGCTGTGACCAATGGCATTCCACTCCAGCTCATCAATACAGACAACGTCTCCTTATTTGGTGACTCTCACTATTATTTTAAATAGCAGAAACATGAACACAAAGACATTTCAAAAACTGATTGCAGGTTTGTTTTCACATGTTCAACATATCCATATAAACATATGGATATAACATATCCATATAAAAAGAATAGTGTGACGAGTTTCAAAGATCTTAGAAAACGCCAAACAGCCATGCAACATTTGCCAGAAGTTTTCTGTAACTAATATGGCAGAATTTTTTACATTACAATAAAACAAATGAACCAAAAGAAACGGTGCAATTTGTGCTTAACTTTCCCCCATCTGTAGAGGAGCCTCGGTCTCAGCAAGTGGCATCTGTTGACGTTGGTTTTGCATTTGTAGTGCGCAGGGCTTCCAAGCTTTCATCAGACTCATTCATTTTACTTCAGTGGTATTTAGCACAAAACCAGTCAGTCTGCAGTTGCCAAAGCTGGCAGTGTGCTAAAAGGCTAAAACAGTAGTCTTCCCAGACTTATTCTCACAGCCGGAGCGGAGGTGAAAAAGCATGAAAGCCACACGGCAGCCCTGATCGCACATGGGAGCCTCAGCGCTGAAGTCTCCTTTTCGTGAGCAGCTGCTTAAGCTATGTATCAAACTGTGCGGCTGGAAATGGAAGCGGGTGGGACTTGTGGGGTAAACCTCAACCTTATTTATGTCTTGCACACCCAGCATTTCAAAGAAAATGTGTAAGTGAACCCTTGACACAGGATAGAACAAATGATAACCAAAACATTCCTTACAGAGTGTGAATTCTTGCAAATAGTTTCTAAATTGTGAAAATGGAAGGAAAGCTGGTATCTATCCAAACAAAGGCTCCTCTCCTACGGTTTCCTTATGCAACCATCTCAATGTAATGAGATTAAATTTATTATGTGCCTGTAAAACAAAAGGCACTGGGCAGGTGACTCCTCTTTCTTTAGTCACTTGGTCCTTGTGTTCTCTCACATCAATCACTTCATCCGTCTCCCCCGTGACATTATCCAGGGACTTTGGCTGACTCTTCCCTCATCAGCGATCGGGATTAGTTGGTGTCTCTTGTCTTCAGCTCATCTGTCCTCACCCAGTCTGCAGTTAACCAGGATCCTTCCACTATCCAGTAATAACGGATCCTATTATTCCTTTGGTAATTCCTCAAGCCTGCGGGATAAAGCAACGCAGTGGGGTAAAGGAACACGGTTCCCAGAGGGCGAAGGTGTACTGAGGAGCAGAACTGGCTCAGGGCTATCTATAGGGAGTCCTCCAAGCAAGGATGACCACAGAGGCACAAGGATGTCCAACAGAACAGTGCACACCTGGAAGACTGTGAGTGGAGCTCAGGGCACGAGTGGCCAGCCAGCAGAGAGGCAGTGCCCATGCCAAGGAGCTGAGGTGGGAGGCTGACAGCTGGAAGAGGCACCCCGGGGAGAAGCCCTCGGCTTTGGAGATCTGCACCACTCAGAGGCCACTCGCAAACTCCCCTTTCCAAATGGCGCCAGTCCAGTGGATGCACGATTTGCCACTCCCGCTCCAAGTGCAGCTATGTAACTGGGTGAAATTTTGCTCCGTGCAAACCTTCCAGGTTGCAACCCCAGACACTGTCGCACAGATTTCAGCCAGTGAAATGATTTGCCATTGCCCAGTCTGAAAGTGGCGGCTCGACTCTGGCAAGGAGGACACAGGACAAAGTCAGACACTGTGCACTGCTTTCTTGTGTGGCTGGGGGCCGAATGTTGTTTCCACCTCCTTGTACCAGGGAGCTGTCACATCCCCAAGGCACCTTGCATGGAGTGAGAGTACAAACAGGCGCCACCTGTAATGGGCACTTGTTTATCTTCCCTTTACATCAAATCTATGTAACTGCTAAGTTCAGAAATATACCTGCCACCAGGATACAAAGTGATTAAGGGTTCCTGAAGTGGAATGTTCACAAATAAAAATCGGTGAACTTCTATAATTTTCTAAACACCCTATACAGTCTAAGGACTCTGGTTTCCATGGGACATGCATGCAGATTATGACCCTACCTGGCAGACTGGGGGAGGCCCACACACTTTGTGTGCAAAGCACCTTATCAATGCTCCCCCTAGGTGGTCTTGGTTGACACTCCTTGACTTTAAATCGGAAAACAAATTGATAAACGATAAAGATAAACATAACCATATGGAATGTAACAACTGTCACTTATATTCTTATGGTTTAGTCAAACGGTAGTGCAGGACAATAGACCTTCAACATCTCTGGCTAATTATCATCTTGTAGTTTGTGCTCTCATTTAGGACACAGACACACTGAAGTCTAAATGGAAGCTATGCCTTTTCCTGTGCTAGAGCTGATGCCACCATAATACCCGGAAACTGTCTTGCAATAAACACCACTTTATTCATTACTGATGTCCTGAAGTTCGTGCTACTGAATTTGCATCTATAATTCTGCGCTATCTTAATAATGTGCTTAGTATTACCAACTTAAATATAAGAATACTGGGTAATCTTTACAACTGCTCAGCATTCTATGGTAAATTCATATGTCCGAGTTTATTTTTGTTATGCGAACAATGCAATGCGTATGGTTAAGAAAAATAAAACATGGGCAATAGTGCCTTCCTTTTCTCACTCACAAGTATACAGCTTTCACTTACAAACCTACTTCCTGCCCCTCCACACCAGGGTGTTCTGATTTCTTTCTGTTACAGACAGCTTACTCCTCCTATCATACTGAAGCTTTGTCTCCTATAAATAATGCCTCCCCTCATCCACACTTCACTGTACTCTGGGGTGCACAAAGCACCTGCTCTTCATGTTTCTTTCACTTTTACTTTTAAATTCTGCTACATTGTTACATGAGGAGATCTTATGAAACAGGTTGCTGGGATTCTTGTCCTACTCAGGCTCCAGATTTGGGCTACCATGGCTTTTCTCTTGGCAGAGAAAAGCTGAAAGCCCCGGACGTCTTTAAACTCGCCCCTGTCAACATCGTAGCTCTGGCCAGTTTCACCACAGGTAAAATGGTGCCAAGAAGAAAGACTGCACTCACTTGGGCACCAGCTTCCACGCAGATCCCGCTCCCATCCTTCTCCCTGCCACATGATCCCGTGCACCCTCCTCCTGCATATTTATTGATCTCTGTAATTCCTTTACTCCACCATCTCCTCTTTAGACCATCTCTCACCCAACGTCTAACTGGGGACAAACACACAAAAGGTTAACCTTCTAAAGGTTTACTTTGCTAGTCTTAGTTACTTTTCTCTCATTGCTGAGACAAAACATCTGACACCCGAAGTTAAAAGAGGAAAGGTTTATTTAGCTTACAGTTTGTAGAGGTTTCAGTTCATCATCGGCTGGTTCCAAGATGGGGTGGCACATGGCAGAGAATAAGTCATGGGGCTCGCAAAGCAGCAAAAGCAATAAGGGTGAGACACAAAACTCTTTCTGTCCCTTGTTTGTAGGCAGGCTACTGGGATTAGGGTGGTGTCAATCCAACAACCCAGCAATCACCCAGTCTTAATCCCAGCATTGTGCTATGAATCAATCCCACAGGCTAGAGTCAGTCACCTCTGAAAAAGCACTATGACTGCATGAAGTTTTGGGGGGACACCTGACGCAAATCATAATCATGTATAGTCATTCCTTTTAAAATAATCTATAGAAAACTATATGAGTGAGATCTTTAAAAAATAGTTACATTCCAATTAGACAGATATGTTAAAATATTCAATTGATGTGTTGAAATCAAGATTAAGGTATCAGGTAAAACCACATTTGTACCATAATTGACAAATTCTATTAATGGCTTATGAATTTATATTTTTCTTGGTACCAGGGATTGAATTTATGACCTCATGTTTATCAGGTAAGCGCTTGAGCCACTGAGCTAAATTCCCAGCCCTATGAATATATTTCTGAAGCAACTATTTTACCATAAAGAAATAATTAATATGTATAAGTATAAATCAATACCCTGTACTTGTTATTTGAAAAGTAAGGAATGAAAAGAATGGCAAAGGTTATTTCAGTGTAATTGTTTCCTCTACAGTCAGAGAGATCCATCACTGTAAGTCTTAATGAATATTGTAAACTTGGTCTGATCCATGAAGAGCCTAAAATTATACTTTCCTCAGCCTAAAATTACAACCTGTTCTATCCCTGGTCCTATCTGTCCTCATCCTTACTACAATTTAGAAATAATAGACAACTAACTTCTACTTTTGTTATAGGAAGTCAGACCAAGATGATCTATCATTCACTTAATCAGCCAACTGTGAAAAGCACCTACCTCTTCCTGTCAGGGTTAAGTGGGAGCCTGAGAGGCACTGCTGTCACTTGCCTGTCATTCTCTTGCTGCGGTCATCATTCAGGAACAACAGACCCCCTTTCCACTGAAGGCATAAAATATCGTGTAAGGCTCTGTGGCCACCGGGCACTGGTGGATGGCTTTTCCATGGGCTGTGCTTTCTGCTGGGCTCACACAGGTCAGGCCCCTGCTCAGTGGGTGCGCTCA